ATCCCCTAATAGGGATTAACCGAGTGGATGTCATGGAAGAGGCAAGTCACTGGGGACGTGCCTTTGGAGTTCATATTTTGTCATGGTGAGGAGAACCCTTTCTGATTCCTGATCATCATGTCTGAGCTGCTTTCCTCCACCAGAGATGTTCTGTCTCACCTCAAGCACCAAGGAATGGAGTCAGGCGGCCTCCGGGTGAGACCTCTGAAACCGTGAGCCCCAACATAAATTTCTCCTCCTCTAATTGTTCTTGTTGGGTCTCTTGGTCACAGCTGCAGAAAAGTGGACTAAGACGACTGGCATTTCAAAACAGTTATTATTTTAACAGAATCGAAAGCATGCACTAGAGATAGAATAGTAAGGGTGAATCATTAACACAAAAAGTATCCCTGCTTTTTTTCAGGGGAAGGGTACTGGAGTTTGAACCCAAGGGTACTTAACCACGGAGTCCTACCCCACCCCTTTTTATGATTTTAAATTTTGAGACAGGTTTGCACTAACCTGCTTAGGGCTTAAGTTGCTGAGGCTGACCTATAACACGGGATTTTCCGCCTCAACCTCCCAAGTTGCTGCGATTATAGACGTGAGTCACCACACCTTGACATAAAGAATATTCTTTAATCAAAGGCACATGTGATCGGACTGGGTGGGTCTGGGCGTTGTGGGATTGGGGCCTGGGATAGCAAGGCCCCGGGCAGCTAAGAAGCCCATGACGTGACCCGAGCGGCACCATTCCAGCCCTGAGGCCTGCCAAGCAGGACAGGCAGGCTCTGCGAGCCCCGCGGAGGTCGGTGGCCATCAGCAGCGACCGCAGAGCGATGGTGGGTGGCCCGGTCCTGTATGCCCATGGAGGCACAGGGCAGCCCAGCGGGTGCCAGAGGAGGAGTCCAAGAGGCAGCGCTCTGCCCAAGCAGCCGGAGCTTAGCCTGGCCTCCGCCCTGCCTGGCGCCCTGTCTATCAAGGCACTGTGCACTGCCCTCGCCGAGCCCGCCTGGTTGCACAGCCACGGAGGCACCTGTTCCGGCCAGGAGCTGGGGGTCTTGGACGTACTGGGCTACGTGCACCCGGACCTGCATGAACCCCCAGACAGTGCTGCTCCTGCAGGTCATTGCTGCCTTCTGCTTCCTGGGCATTCTGTGCAGCCTCTCCGCCTTCCTTCTAGATGTCTTTGGGCCCAAGCATCCAGCCCTGAAGATCACACCTGGCTCTGCCGTCGCCCATATGCTCACCGTCCTGCAGTGTGCCACCTTCATTGGGCATCCCATTTTCTTACTGGGCTTCTGAACTCATCCTGGTCCAGCAGCAGCGACATAAGAAGAACCATGGCTCCCAGGTCTACGTCACCTTTGCAGTTAGCTTCTACCTGGTGGCAGGAGCTGGTGGAGCCTCAGTCTTGGCCACTGCAGCCAATCTTCTGCGCCACTACCCTACAGAGGAAGAAGAGCAGGCTCTGGAGCTGCTGTCTGAGATGGAGGAGAAGGAGCC